ATTTTTTTTTTCAAAATTCCTACCCCTAAAGGGCGCACCCCTAAACTAGGGTGCAAAAAAAAATTCTGATTTCGACGAAATTTTGTATCTGGGGGTTTTTTAACATGAAAATCACGAATCTGAAATTAGTTTTTGAAAATTCGAAAAAAAAAGTTCCACTGCAATTCTTGGCGGGACAACGAAAATAGAGATAATTCCACGAAATTGTTGTGTACATACTAAACGAGTTAAGGAACAAAACTGTCGAACAGTTTTTTAAACTAACTTTTCAAACAAAAGTTATACTCATTTGAATGTTGGTCCTTCGGGTCGCGAAGTGTCCCAAGCCTACTAGTAAGCCATAATTTCGCATGTGTTGGTTGACAATGTCGCAAAAACAAAAGATGAACGGTTTGAGTCGATATTTTGTTATTTGGAATTAATTCGGTCATTAAATGATTAAAAAATTCGATGTATCGATTAAAACACCTACCAAGGTATCTTAAAGCGCTGATCGATTATTTATTATCTAAATAAGGTAGGGGAAAAAGTCAAATCACTTTCCGTATGATACTTTTTCATTATGATCAAAAATTTTCATAATCTTAGGTTGAAAAATAACTTCCAAAAGAACACGCTCCTGGCGTACTAGTAGGCTTGGGACACTTCGCGACCCGAAGGACCAACATTCAAATGAGTATAACTTTTGTTTGAAAAGTTATTTTAAAAAACTGTTCGACAGTTTTGTTCCTTAACTCGTTTAGTATGTACACAACAAGTTTCGTGGAATTATCTCTATTTTCGTTGTCCCGCCAAGAATTGCAGTGGAACTTTTTTTTTCGAATTTTCAAAAACTAATTTCAGATTCGTGATTTTCATGTTAAAAACCCCCCAGATACCAAATTTCGTCGAAATCAGAATTTTTTTTTGCCCCCTAGTTTAGGGGTGCGCCCTTTAGGGGTAGGAATTTTGAAAAAAAAATTGCAAAATCGGAAAGAGCATACCCAAAAACCTATTCAAAGACATGCCACCCGACTTTGTAACTCTTATGGTTGCTGAGAAAAAAATTAAAGAAGAAAGGCAGATTTCAACACTCTTTGGGGGGTGGCTCCCAAACGAAACACGTTGGACCCTCGGTTTATTTGGAAAAAGTGCTTGTTTTGATGCCCTCTACAACCCGATTTTTTTTTTCGAACGGTCGTGTAACACCCTGTATATACGTAAGAGTTGGTTAATTAACTTCATAGCTAGTTCGGAAAATGTAGGAAAATATATCCTGTGGTGATATATAGGGTGTCCCAAAAAAGCTGTGAATTAATTAAATTAGTGTTTTACATTTTCCTCAGCAAATTTTGTTTGTTATTAAATTTTGTGCTTTTTAATAACCGTTGGTAAGTACTTAGGTTTTTTCCAACTATATATACAGTGTGTAAAGCGATGGGGTATACAAGAGGGAATTTTTTTTTTAAATATTGATTCATGAAAAAAAATTGTTCTTCATGATATTTTTTGCTTGCTTTGAAAGTACCAATAACGTTTCGATAATCTAAAATTTATTTATAGAAATCTGAAAAAATAATAAAATTTATTTTTTTTATTGAAAGTTATGTAGAATGCTACATTATAATCAAAAGAGCGTATTGCTGTCAATCCACAAACCATCGAAACGTTTTTGGTACTTTCAAAGCAACCATGAAGAATAAATTTTTTTCATAAATCAATATTTAAAAAAAATTTCCCTCTTGTACACCCCATCGCTTTACACACTGTACATATAAATGTATATAAATAAAAATTGCGTATTTTTTCCAATGAATTCAAATCTGCAATTAAAAAAGCAAAACCACTTCGCATTTTTCAGATGATAACAAAAATGTGACTTTGATATGGAACACCCTGTGTATTATTACATAATATGACAGGTTATTAAATTCTTTATAAAACACACTATAGCAAAAATATTTTAAATAACCAACATTTTCAGATTATGGTCGATCTCCTAGGACGTAGAGAGTTTATAATTTTACGGTGCCTGTCCATCTGTCCCGAGATCTGTTCATTAGCACATTCACTGAATTAACTTGAAATTAACTGCATTTACAGAACATATTAACTACATTAAAAGTTAATTTTAATTCATTAACTACTATTTGTACACCGAATTAACTAGGTGGTTTACCCCTTCGTTCCCGCCGATACAGTGCAGCGGCTCCACTTGCTACACTCAAATTGTTTATTTACCGCCCGCCAAGATACAGACTTTATTTACAAAAAATATGATTTCATTTTTTAGGGTAATGTTCAGAAGTAACTTATCTAGAAAACTGTGGGTTTACTTTTTCCATAAATCGTCTTGATCGAGAATAAAACAATAAAATAGGTTAGCACAATAATCGGTGCAAAATATCTAATCTTTAAACAGCCGATATTCAGTTGCTATGAACTTTAAAAAAAAAATAGTCCGAATATTTTGTAGATAAAGGTGTAAATTTATAAAATATAAAATTTATATATTATTAATATAAAATTTTATTTTTCAAAAACAACTTGAGTTTTTTAGGCGGACGCTCATATGGAAATTTACATTGGGTGCAGTGGGTACAGAAGGGCGTAGAGTTGCATCTGATGCTGTTGCCGGGGACATTTTGTACCATACATATTGTCTCGCAAATGCGATAAGAGACACTGAAAAATCGAATGGTCAGACTAGTCCTCCTAAAAACTTAGCTTTAAATAAATTATGCTATGAACTAAAAGTGCACAAATATCTACAAATAACAAGTGTCTTGGCGACTGCTTCAATCGTAAAAAAAATGAGCAGAATGATGAAGAAATTTAAGTTCCGTTAAAATTTTTGAACGAAATATAGGTAATACATTTGCCGTCAGGATTATCTCTATATTGTTACCGTGTTGTCTGTATAATGTACCCAATATATAAGTTTTGCAATTTTCTGTGCCTCCTGTATGTTTTTTTAACACCTCAATCCGAAAAACTACCTATGTAAAATGCGTCTGGCATGCAAATTTATACAGTGTGAGCAACAATGATTGAAGCGTGCGTCATCACCGCTTGTTCCTATTAATATCAAAACTACCTTCTTTGTATGGAGTTGTATACGAAAATGACGTTCTGCGCTGTCACGGTGACGTGCGTCTATTCGTATTTCGTATCTTGTATCAAATCAGCATATGCTATGAGCGGCACATTGCCAATTTAGCTGAAGCGGCACGCTTCAATCTTTGTTGCTCACTCTGTATATTTGGCCGCCATTTTGAAATTAGCCAAAAATCAGCTTGGCAACATCCGAATTCGGATTCAGCAGACATTTTTACCCTTATAAACGCACGTTTCCAAAATGGCTCATTAAATGCCGTTAGACTTGCGATTTATTAACTATGGCAACCCAAGTATATACAATGCGGTTAGTGGGAGGGACTCTGAGGGGTTGTGAATTTGTAATATATAACTTGAAGTAGGGAAGAGATTCAATTCTGCTGAATATTCTGAAGGGAGGGAATCTTTTTGTCTCGCCACACGGGATGTGCGTGAAGTTCGAGTATGTGCCAACAACTAAAAAAAACCCCTCTTTTTGCCTCTAACTGCACTAATAGAGATTTTCCAAAATTTAACCGGCAGTAATTACCACAGCAAAACCTAGCAACCCAGTTAAACAGATTTTAATTTCGAAATCCTCTCGTGCGAATACTATAATGGTAGAAATACAAACGCAGTAATGTAGAATACAGAAATGGCCACTGGTCTTCGCTCTAAATTGTCTTGTACTTACCTAAACCCATTCCGGAACAAATTTGTTCCACTTCAAGCGTCAAAATTTTCTGCCCATTCAAAGCGAGGTTGATGACATTTGGTACTATGCTGGTAAACTCGATTTCATGCAACCATTTGAGGACGTCTTCGGTACTCCAATTGACTATAAGCTTTCGTCTGTACGCCGTTACTTTATTGAGCAACATCGATCGCACCACCTGAGAAAATTGCGACTTTAGTAGCGGTATATGTATTTTATCATCTTACTAATTGTTGAGGTAACTTCCAGATCCATAGAGTTTTATCTAAGCAACCGATGGCGAGTAGAGAAGTGTCATACGTGAAGGAGCATGAAGTAACGATAGAATCGTGATCTAAGACATGTAGGCATTCTGCACTGTACACCGACCACAGCCGCGCCTGCCTGTCTGTCGCTGTTGAACAAGCGATTTCTCCAGATTCCGGTGATAATCGAACACACGTAACACTTCCTCCGTGCCCTTGCAGGGTACGCCACAGCTTCACTTCTACATTTGAAAACGCATATTCGTCATCCTCCTTCGGTATGCAAATTCTCCACAGTTTCACCAAACTGTCATTGCCGCATGTGGCCAATAGATAATGCTGCTTATTATTCATTGTGAGAAGAGGAATCGGCTCCAAATTCTCCGAAAAATCCGAATTTTGTATACCCAAATCGTGTGCGTCGTCTTGAATGTGAATATTGACCGCCTCGACAGTCCACAAGCGAAAATCCGAATTATGGCAAGTGGTCGCTATAATTTTTCCATCCGGTGAAAAACATCCGGACGTGACCGCGTCTGAATGCCCCTCAAAGGTTCTGCCGAAATTTGAAATGTTCACTCTTCGCGTTTTCTGCGTGTGCTACTTACGCAATTAATTCTCCCGTTTCAAGATCCCACGTATTCGCGTTTTCGTCATCTCCCGACGTGATTAAGTGCTTTCCGTCTGGGGAGAATCTGCAATTTCTAATCGCCAGACTGCTTTCTACGAGTTCCATCGTTTTTTCACCTGTCTAAAGTTTTGACTCCCATAACACAGCTATTATGGGCACAAAATTGTGTAGACTGAAGGCTTATTAAAAACATTTGCTGTGGCTAGCGCAGATACCACCCGCACATCTGCGCATGCGCGATTCTGCCCTTTTGTTAAAAATATTTGTACCAAATTTGGTTGCAATCGATTGAGCCGGATATGAGAGTACAGACAGACAGACAAACCGACAGACCGAACTACATAATTGAGATTTTTTTAAATCCGGATTCCTGGTGCTTCAAAAAGTGTATTTTCGTCAAAAAAAACCTGATACTGGAGAGCCTAAAATACTCTCACACTGTGTGGGGCTGTACCGCCCCTGCCCTGGTGGCACGAGGGACTCTCTCGATTGCAGGCACAGACAAGGGAACTTTTTAGTCAAGCAAAAAAAACACAGGGGAATGGGGTTCATACCAAACTACACTCACTGAATATAATAAGGCCATAAGGAAGGCAAAACCTGACTCATGGAGGAAGAGGAGAAGGCAATTGAACAAATTACAGAAAGTGCCAGACTCCAAAGGGCTCTACATTGATTTAGATTAAATATGGTTAAACGTCAAAAGTTTACTTTGGTTTGAAGTTAAAGGTTATGTTTTAGTATTGGTGCACCACGCCTGTTGCGGCAAATGATTACTAACGTCATAATTTATTGAAGCGGGCGGCGCAGCAACTCATTATTGATCGCACTGTACAAAAAGGAACAGAGGGTAGAATCAGTTTCTTGAAGAAAATTGAGGGGAGGTATACAGAGACCGCAAAGGAAACACTGCAGCTTTTGCTTCAATCACACTTTCCGGGATCAAAGACCTTCGCTCAAAATCATGCGGGCGGGCGAACCAAATACTGTGGAAACACCTCTCAAGGGGAACAGAGGAGATTGGGTTTTGCCTTGGCAAATAGGTGGGTAGTGAAGACTTGCCATCCACATAAATCCCCAGGAATGGATGGAATATTTCCTGCTCTACTTCAAAAAGATCTCGGCCTGTTAGCCTCCACACTATGTACATTACATAAGTATTCCCCTAGGATACATACCCATAGTGTGGAGGGACGTCGAAGTTGCATTCCGAAACCTGAGCGAGACTCATACGCCCAAGCCTAGTCGTTTAGATTCCACCAGTCTGACGTCGTTTCTCCTAAAACTATTGGAGAAACTTATTCACCGAGTCCATCAGTAAACACCAATGTGTCTATCAACCAGGCAAAGCAAAGGAACGCCTACTTGAAAATGAGAAACTTATACAAAAAGTCCGCCCTATCAAAAACCTGGACTTCGTTAAAGAGGTGGTCGCAGTGCAGGATCCGACTGGCACCACCCCTAATACCATAATAATAATAATTTGTTTAATAAGCCTTTAAGACAAGTCTACACATTTTTTGTACAGAAAACTCACATTTGGATCCCATATGATGGTACAACCGTCCAAGGAACAAGTCGCCAGACGGCTTCCGTCCTTTGAAAACTCGACATGATTCACCGAATAACTATGTCCGTCTAATGGCGAAGAATCCGTCTCTTCTATGGCGTTATTTTCATCAACTTTAAACAGTTTAACTAGCTTATCACTTTAAGTAAAATCATAAAGTAGATAACGGAATTTATTTTCACTTTACTCACCTCGATCCGACGGCCAGTAGGTGATTGCCATAAAAATGACAAGAGTTAATGGCACTTTCGAAAATGTCGTCTATTTTTTCCACCAACTCGAACGTCTCGGAACTTTCCGCGTTTTTGACGACTTGCATTTCTTGTAGATTATTAAGCGCGTTCGCCAAAAGCGCAAAGGGCTTAACCAGTTTGGAATCGACAGAGATGTCTTCCGTCAATCCCCAAACTATGACAGTTTTGTCGTTTGATCCTGTAAAGAAAAGAATGAAACCGAGATGAGGTGCAACAGGTGTAACTATACCCGAAACGGCTAGTCCACCGTCCCTTGAGAACGACACACAGTTGACATATCGAGTGTGAGTTTTCATTGTGGTGATACATCCTCCGTTGTGATCCCAAATTTTGATGTACTTATCAAGGCCACACGAAATAAGGTACGCTCCGGTGGAGTGATACTTTATGCAAGTGACAGCAGATTTATGTCCAATTAGTGAGTTGGTATTCTCGACGGAAACCAGATTTTGTGAGGAGCAGTACTTTGGCTTGACACGTGTCAATACTGTCCACATTTTAATATCGTGACTATTGCCGCTTGTGGCTAATGTGTACTGCTTAACTAGAGGGTCTTCTTCTACAAATAAGACTGTCTTATTTTAATATGTCACGCCATCTTTGTCGCTACCTACCATTGTTTAAAATCACAGGTGAGATATCCATGCAAAGAATTCCTAAGTCATGAGCATTGTCAATCACAGCCAAGGATGAACACGAATCTTCGCCAGCCGTTTCAAGAATATCCTGCATACTCCAAACGCTTATTACTTCTAAAGAACAGGCACTTATTAAATACTGGCTATCGGGGGTAAAGGCTAACGCTTGCGTTGTTCCTTCGTGATGAAAAATTGTTCTGAAAATTATAGCATTGTTCAGTTTTCTGGGTTGAAAAGTTACAAACGGACTAAGACATTCTTTTGGAGGATGATTTTACTGATTCGTCCTTAAATGTAAGGGTTTTACATATAAAAGATACATATTTAACGTTAATTGCATCTATTTTTATTTCAAAAAACAACATTAAATTATAGTGTTAAATTCGACGATCTAAGGCACTATTGGTGAAATTAATGTCGTCATTTGATTCATGTGACGTCACAAAAAAAACCGTTTACGACCACCACCAAATCAGTCACGATTCATGTCTTCCTCTGCTATATAAAACATTTTCCCTTTCTTTTCAACTTTCCTATTGAGAACGTAGAATGGGTGTAAAAGATTTTGTGATGATTCTAGCATGCTCTGACAATGTAACCCGGGCTCTGCAGAGTATAAGAGACCACTAGGAGTCCAAAAAGCGCACTGAAAAGCATCAGAATGTTACGGATGGATTTCTAGAAGGAATCTAGGAAGATCTGGGAGAGCCCCCTGGAAAGCGATTAAAAAGGTGCTAGGATCTACAAAGCTCTGAGAGGAGGGCAAAATGTTCTGCAACGCTTTCCAATACTAGGAAAAGGGTTTATAGAGGTTTTCCATCTCCATTCTCCATCCTAACGTATAATTTAAATTTCAAGCTGAAACACCTTGAAGATACTTGCGGCACAAATTCAAAATCGAGTACAAAATAATAGCAAAAAGTGTTGTAGAAGTTCCAGAGATCTATTTAATCATTTTTGTCATAACCGAAATATATATATGAGTACATACCTTGTTAAACTTCGATGTACTAAGTCCCAAATGCAAATAGCACCATTATCACCAGCGGTCACAAGTACAGAGCTATCAGGCGCGAATCTAAAAATCAGTCATGATAGTTATACTCTAATTGGATAGTCTATGGTAGTCTTTCAATAAAAATATATAAAATAAACACGTGGAATATAAAGAGAGGGCAATGAAATAAATCTTGGTTGGAAGAAATTACGAGGGGAAAGTCGAATTTACTACCTTGTTTGTTACCTACCAAACACAAAATGTAAAATTTGCTTTTTTAATAATACATTCAAACTTCTGAAGCAAAATATATGTTACGTTTGGTGGGCACCATGAAATATCAATATTAAGTTTTGAACAGACAGCATTCTCAAAGGTTCATTATTAATTTAAAGGAACAGAAATATACTTTGACATTTATGCTGCAACAAAAGTAGGGCAGCAACATCTAATCATGGTCACAGAGAAAATGGTATTTAAATTAAAAATTGATTATCTGAGTAAGGACCTTGAAATGTAATTAAAAATTCATCGCAAACGTTAGATTGACTTGTGGAGAAGCGAGTAGGCAACAAAAACTTTTATTCTAGACTCTAGAGCGTGAGGAAAGCGCAGTGCGTGTTGTGCAGAACAGTAAACTCATTCCACCCACGAGGTAGGCGTAGATTCAACCTGAGTTACATAAAATGGATTTCAACATGCTATGAGAATACGGGAAACAAAAGAATAAATTCCTTACCTACAGACCCTTATTGCATCTCCATTCATTTGAACCATCGTGTGAATCTTGGTACCGGCATGTAAATTCCATAAAACCGCAGTACCATCGATAGAGGTCGAAACCAGCATGGAACCTTGAGGGGAAACTCTCACACAGGTTACGCCGTACTTGTGGCCTCTTAGAGGAGAATATGAATTCTCCTCGTAACCAGACTGTGGAACCCATTTCCACACTCTAACTGTCTTATCGCTGCAATTCAAAATTGTACCTACGGTAAAGTACTAACAGCCCGCGTCTTTACCTACCTTGATCCGGTAATTAGTGTAAAATTTGGTGCAAAATCACAGCATGTTACATCACTTGTATGTCGAGTTAATGTCTGTACAACGTGTACATTTTCAGATAATATGACGAGAGCCATGTTTGACTGGAAAGAAAAACAGAATTAGTACCTTCGCAAAAGAAGGCATGGTTTACAATCAGCAAAGGGAATATATTTTCGGATTTGTCTTTCAGTCGGTTAGTCCATTATAGTTTATAAAATATGATAAAGGATTTATACTGCGTTAGGTGTGCATAATCGGGATGATGTAAATGAAGCGGGTTATTGTAATTAAAACAAGAGCAAGAAAAGCGAGTTAAGTGTGTCTGTCGTAACCGAATGTCGAATTACAAAAAGCTTATCATAATCGAGGAGTTTTATACATTCTGTCGTTGTAAGATAAAGCCCTAATTAGGTCAGAATTTACAAAGGCGATACCTAGGTATATGTAATTCGTGGGAAAGTAGCATTCGTTAAGCAGCGTCACGCAGTGCCAAATCTGCTCCTCCGCTCGTTTTCGCAAAGCGCTTCGTGCAATCCATCCACTGGATGAATACCGAAGATAGAAATTAAGGTAAGAGCGAGAAATCATATCCATCAAGCACCTTCGCGCTGCAGCCGAAAGAATATTCTAGTTTATTCTCAGAATATATTCCATTCGCATATCCCTAGTATATCTTACAAGGCACGTTATTATAGGTGTAATTTAATACATGTTCAAATAACTTTTTTGAATATTCCTGGTATATTACAAAAATATTCAATGCTATCTGTTCTGATCTCTAGAAAACTTAATAAAAGCTTAAGAAGAGAGGTGAGGTTTGGGAGGAAATTAAGAAAAGTATTGTAGAAGTTTAAGGCGAATCTGAGCAGAGGACAGTGAGGAGAACTTAATGGGGAATTCATGGAGGAATTTTAAAGAAGATCTTGAAAGGAACAATAAAATTTCGAGAAATTTGCTGGAATATTGTGAGAAATTTGATAAGCGTTTGTGGAATACGAATACGAAAACTAAGAACTTTGAGAATTTGAGAATAACTTGGGAGCGGTTTATGAGAAAAGTGAGGTATCAAAAGAATGTTTTATGGTATCTGTTTATTGGAGAAACGGTGGGATAAATGTATAGAGGTTGAGGAAAATTCCTGTAATTCCTTTTCTTTCATATTATCTAGGTAGATTATATACGAATGTCGATTGGTATAAACAAAAGGGGAGTTTGATAAATACATAGAGGAAGTGACGCAGACTGATTTTTTTTAAAACACTTATTGCAAACATTGCACACAATTTACTATCTAATCGCAATGACGTGATTAAAGAGCACATTTCACTAGTCAAATTTACCTGTTTGGATTTTTTCAAGATGACACTTTAGTTCATAAAACTGAAAATAACATCCTAGCACTTAAGTGGATAAACAAACACGATGGAATCACCAAACTGGGACATACCTTACGACAATATCATTCACATTTTACTAATAAAACGTTTTGCGTCCAACGGACACTTGTAGAATATCGATGTCCGTGCGGACCGCCACTTATAAAACAATTTAGTATCGGCTAGTATGAAAGGTGACGTTTCCATGACAGCGACACAATGAAAATAACCTTTGGTTAACATACATATCCGTTTGATTATGGGAACTAATGGAATGGGGAATCAAAAGTTATTTTCATATCGATTACAAATTGAAGCCACGTGGTTTTAGATAAATCGTTACGTGCCACTTCGCGTATATAATTACTCGAAGAAGACAAACGGAAAGCACCAAGATTTTGGACGTCAGTCAAAATCTATTTCATAAATTAATACACTACTACTACTACTATATTATACCAATACACTGTATTAACTAATCAATACACTAGAGGGCATAATCTAATAGAGAAAACCTGAAATCGATAGGGGCAAAGCGCTATTGTGTAAAGACAGACAGACATATTCCAAATTATGACACTACGAGTACTACGACCAATCGTTTATTTAAATTATCTATGAGATAATGGGCTACCTATACCTACAATTTACTTTGATGAGGTCATAACGTATAATTTAGAGGCATGATATAGTACCCATTACCTACACCCGTGCGTAATGAAAAAATTAGAATAGATCATGTACGTTTGGAAGTGACAGACGTCGTTTTGGGTTTTGCCTTATTTCCATTTCGAAATTCACGATTTTCACTATGCGTTTCGATGGCGTTTAGTCCTATCTATGAACAATAGCACCAATTTTTGAGTCAATAATATTATTTATTTATGGGTTAGGTCACTAAGGATTACTATATGCAAAAAATTTCGTGTATAACATTTTTTAAAAGACTCTTTTTCACTTATTTGCTTACCTACAAATTCGTGAAAAAAAGTATCACTTTCAAAACTAGAAAAAATAGGTAAAAAACCCTCGCACATTCCATTTAGAAGGGTTAGGAGCAGTAGCTTTCAAACATTTGTTCCGCTTCCCACTACCATTCAGTGCCACCAAAATTATACTCTGTGGATTGAACAAAACACAAACTCTACTCGCATAAATTGCTTTTTACTCAACTCAATTACCCCACACTATCGAGTATCGATGTAGAATTGTCGGAGTAATGTAACATTACCAGGTGAACTTGACATTAAACTTTTATAAAAATAGTCCACGGTACACGTAACCATTTTTGTAACGTGCCACAAATCGATTGTCAATTTAAATGTACAAGGCGCAAATTTTCCTGAAATAAAGCCGGGTGTAATTGCTCGTTGTATTTATTTAGTCGTGGTCGATTATTAATAAAGCGGCTTTGTGAACAAAGCCACACCCCCGTAATAATTTGAGTGACATTTAAATGTACTTCATGTAATTCAATTTTATCTATTTAGGACAAGTTATAGTTTAAATGTCTAAATAGGAAAGGGAAAGTGAAACAAAAGGTACGTCGTTCAAATACAACAAACAGATCCTCCCTCCTCCTTTCCGTATACGGCAAATTCATTAATAGATTTCATAATTAAGCGTTAAATGGATTGGTTGTTAATTAAAACTGAGACAAAAACCGCAATCAAGTTAAAATAGTATATTACGTAACGAGTGTTGAAAGCGATACTTTTCACACGAGATGTGAAGTTTGCCATACGAGGCGAAGCCGAGTGTGGCAATCACACGAGTGTGAAAAGTGGCTTTCAAACGAGTCATGTACACTATTTTTCCTACGACTCTCCATACAACCAAAAATCTACTTACATAATGAAACAAAAGTTATTTTATTTGAACCAACCGACTACTAAAACTATCTAAAAATACGAAATAGATTCGATTTCTCTTTAACGAACTATTGTTATAATTACTTTAGCAAAGAGGTACTTGTCGTTTGGAGCTTCTGCAAGAAATTTACTAATATTATTAGACGTACGCTACTTTTCATAACTCACCCGCAATTTAGTTAGTAGTAATTCGAGTGTAGTGGATTTTGCCTCTTCCCTGATGTTGGATGGAGTACACTCTACCTCCATGGAAGAATCACTTTTCGCCATTAAAATTAAGTAAGGAATTAAACGCGTAGCACAAGGGAATAAATTCAAAAATAAACTAATCGCAATTTTAGAGTTTGACGTACGCCTACTACGTTGATGTTAAAGAAGATTAGACTACTACGAAAGCAAAACGTAACATGCGATTTGCTTTCTAATATATGGTAGATCTTATGAGAAAGCAAATCACACGGGTGCGTTTTGTTTTCCGTTACATTTTGCCATAAGTGAGCGAAATTGTCAATTTTCAAGTAAACATAATTGTACGACATATGTCATTTTCAATGAAAGTCGTAGGAAAAAAAATGAACACGTTTCGAGAGAATACCTCCCGACAACTCTCTTCTTCGCTATTGATAACAACGTTACTGCCAAAACACGTTAGTTGTTAAAGCTGGTTGTATTTTGGTGGTTTGGTTTCAGTTTCAACTTTCACTTTTCCAAGGGCTCCGTCGTTTCCAGCTGCCAATAACAAATATGCATATAAGTTTGGTATGGATCACCACGTCTCCATAACGAAAAACATAAATATATTAAGACACGAGTGTATAATCAAGTCTTTAAAACAGGCGCAACGAACGACACAAATAATATAAGTGTAATCATACATAGTGACCTTAAATTCTTCATTAAACAACAAGTATTACGGGAGTGGCAAAATCTCGGGCAAAATAAACACAGTGCGTCAATTTCAAAATTACGGGAAATTAAACCAAATGTAAACGTAATATTACCATCACCATCTACCCGGAAAGCCCAAGTTATAATCAATAGACTAAGAATAGGACATACAAAAATGACTCACGAATATTTGTTAAATAAAAGTGACAAACCCAAATGCGACGTATGTGATGTGGACCTCACAGTCAATCACATCTTCACCTCATGTATATCCAGCGTTCCCGACACCACATTCAAGGATCCCTTCGAGATATATTAGGAGAGAAGTGCAACTTCGGAAACGTTACAAACTATCTAAAATCTATCAATGTCATACACCAATTATAGTCATTTCATTACAGAAGCATAATATCAGCGCAAATAACCCTACGCGGTTGATGCGCTAATAATAATAATAATAAAAAAAAATTTACACGTTGCTTAAAGACCAATTACACGTGTTTCTTATAGTACTTTTTATTATATCTGCAATATAATTAAAAAATAAATCACCGTCTTTGTAAATAACATGACTTCAGGTGAAAAAGATTCGATGGCTTGTTGCAAAGGTTGAAGAAAAGTTGGTAGGTGCAAAATCCAAATTCAGTAAAGCCTATTATAAAGAATGTAAACAGTTGTTTTCTTGGATGAATAGGAACCATCTTACGAACAAATTCTTAAATGCATCGATAATGCTGGCATATATGAAGGAAATGTCAAAGGTATTCTTATTTGGTGCATTCATTTAAAACTTCAAATAGTGCTGCGATTAAGAGATGTAACATATTGGGCAGCATAATCTAAATTACACACGTTTGTGAAAGCTTTAAACAAAGGGTAGGTAGAAGTGAGAAATATTTTACATTTACAAAAAGCGACGAAAAAGAAGATTTTTTATTTCAGACCCAGATCAAGTCATATTTGAAGTAACATTACTTATCAACCTTTAAAGCACTTGTAAAGGTCCGAATTTGCCCGCATTTGAGTATGCAAAACACGTATCACATCATTCATTCATCATTCTAGGGGTGCACATAGCTTTAAAAGAATACTTACAAGCTTCACGGCCTAAATTTGTTCAAAAGTTCGCAAAAAATATTCACTCGCGAAACTGAAGATAAGTCAAATTGAAGTAAAGGAAACAGTTTTAGTGCATTGTCAGACAAGATAACTCCCGAACGGTTTCGAATTTTCCAATTCTGTTTTCAGTATTTTGTTTATCATCACTCAAAGAAGAAGGGATGAAATGTTCAGTGACCCAGGAGCTCGTTTGCTATATTTGTTACAAGAATTTTCGATTATAAACAAAGAAAAATTGTAAGTAATTTAATATTTTTTTATTTCAGGACTGTTTAATGTTATTTATATGTAAGATACTCTCAAAGGGTGAAAAGATCGTCTAGACGTAAACATTTAATTGTGAATATCTCGAAAATGTCTTGTTTGTTCTCAATGGCTTTGGATTTAACACAACTTGAGAAACAAACGCATAAAAAACAAAATTTGACAACGTGGGTACATACATACAGACGGAAAAAAATTAACGTAGACATTGCATTGAAAAAATGAAACAGGCAAAAAAGATCTTACCTCTTCGGAAAATGATTGTCCATTCTCATGTTCTGTTAGTTCTGTCTTGACCTCCATACCAATAACGGAAAACTGCAACAATTCAAAAATAATTAATAATAATATACCTAGTACGAACTACTAATTTTACGTCCAAAAAGTTTCTCAGTTCATTCGCATTGTGTAAAAACGTAATTAATTTGTAACACTGACTCGTGAATCCTAGTCTCCTTTTCGAAAGTAATTTTCCACTATTTTCTGGTACCAATAATTAGTTTCTAGTCTCACACTTTACACACTTAAACGCGCTCATTGCGAAGAAGTCTCAAGAGCAGATAAAGGCGAATTCTATGAAGTCTGACAAAAAAGCAACCAACGGCGATGAAAAAGAACTCAAAGACAGAGAATTAGCGGACATATCATTGGAAGATGCATAAGTTCGAGGTCGAGGTAAGGAAATAGATCTGGAAATCCGAAAATGCAGAAACAGAAAAGGCGAAGAAAGCTGAAGATATCGAAGGATGCGTGAAGGTTGAAGACGAGAGATGTGATCGAGAAATCCTAGGAAAGCGCAGAACCGTGTAAAGTCAACGATCTGAAAAAATCTAAGACTAAGGATGTCAAAATATGAATTAACAAGAGGAGAAAAACAGTCGAAGAAGAAAAAATCGAAATGCCGGAAGAATGAATGAAACTTCACTAACTAAAATAGATGAAGAAGTAGACTAAAAAACTCGAAGAACTTAAATCCCGAAGAATAGGAAAACAAGAAGAAAAGCGCGGAATTCGGCAAATTTGGTGGAGCCCAAGAAACCAACGAAGTCGAGGAAGTTTGGGATGTCGAAAGAATTCGAGAATCCAACGATTTCGAGAAGAGTGTAGAAGCTTGTATTGACTATTGAACGTTTTGATCCATAATACCTTTGAAAATCGTTTTAAGCATCCGAATTTTTGGAAACATTCCATACAGTTTTGTACTGTTGAATGTGTCTACAATAATTCTTTTTAAAATCTTTTTATATCCTCAGGAAAAATGTTAAAATATAAGAAATAGATCTTTGGCCAATCCGTTTTCTGGCTGTGACCAGTGTTCCAGACGAAATGTCAATCCTGTATAGTGGTTGAAACCACTATAATGCGAAGTGTAAAAAATGTGAAAACCAAAAAATTCTAAAATAGGTTTCTGGTTAAATTATAAGATAAATATAAAAAATAGGGGGATTTGTGCTCATAAATACTAAGTGGTAAAATGGCCATTTCGGAATTTTTCACTAAGTGTGAAATATGGAATATACATATGGATATAAAATCACCGGATTCGAAACTCACATCACAGCTTTGTTGTTTTTTAAACATTAGCGAGAAACCCTTGTTGAAGTAAGTGGTGGAGGTGGATATTTGTCGGGGCATCTTGCACGAAAGTGACATTTTTTTCTTAAAAAATAAAATGAAAACTATTCTAGCGAGCAATTTTGTTTTGAATTTGTAACAAGCCGTTCCACTCCAACAGTTTTCGGACTTCTATAACTTTTAATCTGCATTAGATTGGGTTCACTTTGCCGACTTCCGAGATGGTCACTCTCGAATTTGGGAATCCGGCGGATCTGCTCATCTAGCAATTGTAACGCCCAAAAATTAATTATTGAATTTTTCTTATAACTTCTTTGTTCACAAGCTTAGAAACGCTAAAATTTTGATAGCACAATTAAAGATTCATCATCGCGCAATATATGAAGGTAGGTATCCACAAATTAAAATAAGAGGAACTGCGGCGAAAACGGAATGGCGAAAATTAGAATATTTATAGGATTGTTCCAATACTTTTGATTTCATATTCCTGCAATATAACCCGAAAATAAAAGTAGTAAAACGAACGCTTGGGACTGTTTCGTATTGATCAGAGGAAGAATAATGCGAAGCGAAACATTTGGTTAGTCCTTTTGTTATACGCGAAAGCTCGTTTAATTGTCAAATAGTCAACGATATCGATTCGACGATTGTTCCAATGAAATGTACGGTAAATTCTGGTGCGAATTCGTGTGTAATACATTGATATTCGAACGCAATTCGAACATTTTTGTAGTCGAGAACGTTGTTGTCCCTCTCACGTCGTCGTCTCTTTATGTTTTAGGCCGTAACTCACGATTGGTTACAGATATTGATCTGGCGCCTGTTTATTCGTAATCTACGTCAAATTTCCGTACGGATTCGTGGGTAATACGTCTATGTTCGATACACAAATAAAGATTTTGTAGATGTTGGAGGTTTCGAGCTGGCCCGCACCGCCATCAATTATCATCATATCCATTTTGAAAATGATTGCGCCGCTGATGCGTTTCCTTTTCTCGAACTTCCACCGCCGCCGCCGCCTTCGCTCTCCCGCTCTTCTCTTATTCTATTATCCCGGGACGTTGGTCCTTTTCCTAATGTATAGATAGAAAGCGTAACTTTGGCGGTGGGCTCGGAAAGTATCGACTTAGGATGCTTCCATTTTATGTGATGTGCCAGCGTAATATCGCTCGCTCGTGGATAGTGGAGTGGAATCGGTTTAGCTGTACACGACACGACAGTTGTTTGAGCGACCGGCCCGAACAGGGTAGGGGGTCCAGGGACCATAAAGCCAGGTTTACTCCGCTTAATGTTCCATTTCATTTGTTTTTTATTTTCCGTCCTCAGCGACTCATTCATTTCTTATCTTATTCCGCGTTATTACAGCCTCCCTGCGCTGCGCCACCGACTTGACGACCTTAAACAGGACATTTGCAATGGATTGCGCAAATTTAATGAAATTGTTGATACATAACGATAATCGACCTCATTACACAAACTTTCGCCCGAAGATAATATGATCTAGTCCCTAAATTTGCAGACATCATTTTGGTGACTTGAAGACTACTAAGAAGCAACTGCTTTATTTATACAGCGAACAGCGTGCCAGCCCATTCATGATATTGCTTATGCAATTGTTTTAAATATACATCGACAATGATTCTATGACAAAAACAAGCATTCGTGCCCATCTTCTTTGTTTAAATCCGCCTGCCCTATCTTCCCCTGTGTCAAACCCGAAAGGATCTAAACACTGCATCTCGATATCTGGAAAATTAAAGGAGTAATTTGAATAACGAAAACGAAGGGGACAAGTGGGGTAGTACCTACATCCTAAGTAAATATCGTAACTGTCGTGCTTTTGGAAATAAATTCCCTTGGGTGCTCCCCTTTCTTGTCAAGCAATCTTAGTATTTTTTTTTACAAAATTGTCTTCTAAGACGTTGTGCTATTTTGACTTAAAGTAAATATGCTATGCAAGCCAAATGATCTAAGTGTTTGTGTAGTTAACTCATCCTTTAACTCTGTTGTTAACCTCCTGCTCTAGCACATGCGCGTATCCGCCTTGAAGTGTATGTACATACTTTTATAACCACCCGGTATCTGGAGGCGCTTCGTTACGAACAGTTTCGTGCCGGTAATTGACTAATTTCTAGAGTTGTCTCAGCGGCCGTTACCGTAAACCGTAAACAAAAGCTGTAATTCATTCGCTGTTTGCAACCGTTCCCGTCAAGATATTTCAATTATTGTTGCCTTCGAAAGCTCTTGTCATTTAGAAGACGAGGACAAATTAATATTTTAGGATTTCAGTTCCATTAAGTAATTATTAGATGATTTTTGTTTCCTATGTTAATTTAAAATTATCATTAAAGCTGCAAGGTCATGCGGGTTTACGCCGGTATCAGTTTGATTAGAGATCTTTTACCTGACCTGGGAGATTCCATGAGACACTGGGGGCTAATTAGAAGTGTGAATTTAGAAATTTCATCTCGTACCTACATTTTAGCGAGTATAATTTATTAATGTATAACAGTAGCTAAGTAATTGAGTTGCAGTAAACAGCATTCGATTAAGTGGTGAGTGATTCCATTAGAAGCGCGCTTAATTGATTGAGATCTTGGAATACGTCCCCGATTTGTATGATGACCAAAAGCCGAGAAATTAATTAAAGAGGTTGGGAAAACCGGCGTACCATAACAGATAATGCCGTTCTTTAGAGGTGATATTTTTGCCTTTGTTGTATTGCTAGTTACATTTGCAAGTACAGGGCCGTAGCCAGATTGATTACTAAGCGTGCCAATAAATCTACAGAGCGGACAGGCGCATTAGCGTATCCAGAATGTCGCCGAGGGGGGGGGGGGGTTAGGATATATTTTAGTGCTTCTGGAATTTGCTTCATTTGTAAGTATACTTACGATTTCAGGTTCTAAACTAATCTGGAAGGAGGAATATGCATAGGAACTTAGTTTACAACGAAAGGATATCTCCAGTTTGTGAAGATTATTTTCATAAGTATTATCAAAGAATTTATTTTGAATAGATAATATAAATATAATATCAAACTCAAACAAAACATATTTTCGTATCATATTAGATATGAAGTAATAATAAAGTAATGAATATATAAAGAAGTAAATATGAAGATAGACAGACGGAGTGGAAGTTTCCTTTTTTTGAGAGCAAGTTCATCCAACACTTTCTCAATGTTTACAGCAATATGCCTGTGAATATTCAAGAAAGCTAGACCATTGAGGCGATTTTCGCTGATGGTATTTCTCAAATAAATTTTGAGCCGTCTCAAGGTAGAAAATTATCTCTCACTGGTAGCAGTTGCCACAGGTAATAAGGTAACTAATATTCTTAGTAAGATATTCACTGTTGGGAATATTTCTGGATGGCACATTTTCAGTGCGTCCAGAGCATTGTTTGGAGAATTGTGCGAGGAAGAAATATATTGCCACCAAACTTTCATTTCACCAACTGCTGCTTCCCCATCGATATCCAAGATATCCCCGACTTATCGCGTAGCATCATTGCTGTTTTTGTGGGTGCCCCGCAATATGCAAGTGCCGAGGCGAGAGCGCATCACCCAAAGGAGGGGGTTTGAACCCCCAAACCCCTCCCTTGTATACGCCACTGGAGGCGACATAGTAACTTGCTGTGTCCCGTGCAAATAGAGTTCGCATAATTTTGTAGCGTATAACGTAAAATACCTACGGTAAAAAAGGGATGGGTCCTAAGCTCATTTTTAAATGAATTCAATTCATAAAGATTAAAGAGAATTTTTTTTAAAAATTTAAATAAATTCAAAAAAATGTTGTGTAGTTTTTCTTGTCATTAGAACCTTTTTTGATCTTTCAAAATCTTGTTTAATCTTTTTGAATCTTTTTTGAATATCTTCCCTGTGTACTACAGTTTTGAAAAGAGAATTTAGTGTTCTAGCTGTTTACATTAAAATATACAGGGTGTTCCATTAAAAAATGAGGTTAGATCCGATAATTTTTCTACTTATTTTTAAAAGGGTAGATCGAGTGGTAGATTATGCAACAATCAGTTGTTACACATTTCCGACAACTTAATAAATTATAGGCTTATAATCGAACAATCGAAAAATGCAACTTTCCATAAGTCAAAAGCGAGGTCAAAAGCAAAAGATGGTATGGCAGTTTGGTTTCCACGTAGTATGTACATGTAGTACACATTTTTATAATAATGATAGAAAGAATGTAATGGAAATAATGTAAATGAAGTTGTTTGTTGTTTAAAAGGGTGTTTTTTTTGCCATTTCGCTAAGCCTTTTTGCGCTGTTTGGAGGGGGTAATTACCCCCTTTGTCCCCTGCTGAATCCGCCACTTGGGGGAATGCTAAAAGATGCTGTTCTCAGGAGGCCAGGGCGAAGGGAGTGGGACTGAAACTGGAGGGTACAATAGGTCTTAATGCCGCGGTCCATATCAGAGAATAATAATAACAATCCCCTATCCCCATCCCCCTAAAATTGACCACTACTTCATCTATTTTCTTGTTTACTTCTCGTCCATTCCCGATCTATTTTTCATATTTTTTACATTTCCAATCGATGCCTCGAAATTTTTGAAAAATTAAATGAAAATGTTGACATACGAAGAGAGTACAAAGAAACTTGAAGGAGACAATGCTGCTAATGACGTTTTAAAACATGCTGAAGAAATTATTGATAACAATGGAACCCCAAAAAATGTTGAGGGAATGACAATTTTCACGAAAGAACCTTTCGAGTGTAAAACTTATATTCAAAGAGACCAGCCCCTCGGGTGACAGCTGAAGTTCTAAAAATTTTTGTAGGTACCTCGAATAATCGAAACTGTATCGTGCCGTTCTATTTATAGAGCTATTTAATTATAAATAAAGAGATTAAAAAGTTGGGTTGTAGCCTGTAGTTGCGTTAAAAATAAAGGTACCTATCTAGACGTAATAAATAAATAAAACACACGAAGTCCTTACAAATAATGATTTGTAAATATAAACTTTCTTTGGACAAGGAATGAACACAATGACCTCTGAACCATTTATAGATAAAATGCCAACATGTTGTTACTTGTTAGCGATCTTACAGACGTTAAAAAATAAAAACAATTGCCTACAAATGCAATTAGATAAACAAGGCAACGTTGCCAAAATTCGCGAATTGATAAACAAATGTTACGCCACTGAAACAATTGTAAATAATAGAAGATCTTACCTTTCAGAAACATTCCCGTGTTTTCCGCTTTAATTGCGTGTGTCAATGCGTTATCTGCCGTACCGCCCACACCCCCATCTAATAAGCACCATTAGTTCGCCAAGCGGCAATTACAACAATTTAACAACAACAAAAAAAAAGCGCGCACACACGACTCGTCGCGGCCTTCTTTCGTTTTTATCGGCACACGCTGAAATGAGTAATCAACGTAATTTTTCTAGTGTGTACTCGACTGCTGCACGTATATTGTGGAACGGAGACAGAAGAGAGAAGCGAGAATGAAAACCTTTGGACGTTTACGGGGGGGGTTCCGTGCACGGCCGGGGGGGGTTGGCAAGCAATCGGACTGACACCAAGCCTAGGTCCGGCCATCTTGTGACGGCAAGCGCTCTTGATTCGTAAAACACCCCCGAAATCGCGTAAATTGCAACAGAAATTAGCAATAATTGCCGCAGAATCATCCCTTGCAGTGCCGGGAGTGCGTGTAATTCGAAAACTCACGTGTAACGTGTCGTTTAACCGCTTTAAATTGCATTTAACGTTAATTACTTTTTTGTGTAACATTTTTGTGAGAGTGTAGTAGTAGTCGTCTTCGAATTCATCTCAGTTTACCTACTCTTCGATGATCTCATTCACTCATTGGATAATTATCTTTATACAAACACGTAAGTGCGATTCATTTGCATGTTTTTTTAATCCTTAAAAGTTAAGGTGCTCGTCATTGTCTCTCGACTAACCCCATTATTTGTAAATCGGGCAATAATATCGGTCTTAATTAAATGTAATTGTTTTGTAACAGCTGCGTGCGTGGTATGGGAATATTTTTGTGCGTACACCTGGAAAGTTAACGATCTCTTTGCGCGATTTCTGGAACGATTTTTATTGTTCCTATCGGGAACGTAAGTATAATCGTAAACATTAGAGAAGTTTACCCTACTTTATAAATAGTGAGGAATTTCGAACGGTTCGAACCGAACGAAGTATTTGGTCGTTATTGTAAATTCGTAGGTACAAGCTCCTCGTAAAAAGAAATCGATTTGGAAGAATTAAGCGGAAGTACAGTTTTATTGGCAAAGGCGGGGGGCCGAGGGGAACCTGTACGTACCGCTTTATAATACACGCCATCCTTTCATTTTAATAACCTAAAATGAAACGAATTGCAATCGACGCGCGATTAGAAGTACCTAAACGACGACGTTATGAAAGGGAAACCAGTTCTCTTGTTTCAAATATCAAGAGTGCGCCAGCCGCCTCCGATTTCGGTTGATCGGTCGAAGAAGATAATTTTGTGCATAGAAAAATACTTTAAATAGTTTAAGCGATTCGATCGATATACCTGTCCTGCCATCGAAGACATACGCAAATTTTTTATTAATCACATACGAAGGAGGGGGTTACGATGACGACTCGTGTGTACAGCACGCACGTAAACCACCCCATACTAATTTTTTGCCCCCATCTTATTCATACTCCCGTAATTAACTAACGGATAAGTGTTTGGTATACGAGGGAACTTTTAAAGTGCAACCGCCTACTGGAAATAGGTAACGTAAATAACTGAGCTCATTCTAGCTTCCTTTTTTGCGTAACCAAAAGAAGTGAAAACGCTTATGTTCTCTATTTTCTGCGCGTCTGTCTGTCCCTTAGTACTAGCCGAGGTACTATCACTCAAATAACAATAAAATAATTAGTACCTACGTAAATTGTAAGTTCAAAATCTACGTAACTTCCAAGTTTACGAAAAATGCATGTTTTCGAATGCTGCTGACTGCTGTCTACTTTCCGACAGCAGCCTGCACTATTCGCAAAAAAAAATAATAAAAACAATATCAGAGTTGTGATGCTGGTGAATATTTGTAACTGTAAAACTTGATTTGTATGTCTTTCGTAACCTCGTTCGTAACTGAGAAAAAAATTTTGAGAAGCAGGAACTTTGGCAGCCACGATTCTTCAAACGATTAGTCTTTGGACTCTTTGGTAAGTGTTTGTTACTGTTTCGTTGTTAGGGAAATTTTTTTTTTAAAACAAACTTCGCAACCACATTTTCAGGAATCATCAATTTTAATAAAATTCATTCAAGATTTTCACAAATATCCAACGATGTCAATGAACATCCAAGGATATACACAGATATCTGAGATGTCCAAGGATGTCTGTGGGGATATCCTAGGAGTTCGGCGATTACGTCAGGTCCCAATTTACTTTTATTCCAACCCTCGTTCCAACCAACACAAAACACAGGAGTCATCATCATTTATTATTAGTGTTATTGGGCCACTACGTATATCAGCCGATGTGTAGGGTGTCCCATTTTCGACAGTTTTATAGGGTTTTATCTCCCTAATTGTTACCACTACCAAAAAGTAATAGAGGCATGCGCTCTTTTTGGGTCAACATTTGAACATTTTACTTAAAGAGATACGAGGGAAACTAAAAAAAGTAAATTTCAGAATGACCCTATATCGACGAGTATATCGAGCCCTATATTTTCTTACTTAAAAGAAATGCAGAAAACTATTACAACAGTGTCTTTATGATGGTTGAATCATCTGTTGCTTTCAGAACAACTAAGTATACAGGATCAGATAAAAGTTACCGGACCTAACCTCATTTTTATCACCTGCACGTTAGTAAGGGAGGTATTGCCTGGGGTATTGCGTTTGTTTTCGAATAACAACCTAAAATTTTTTATTAAGGTGCTCGAAAGACCTTATTTTTCTGTGTACAACCTACAAAAATTCGAGCAAAAATTGTACCAATAACTAAATAAATAAATAAAAATTGTGCTAGGTTTTATTACAAAAAAAACTGAGAATAAAATGTCAAATTCGAGGTCAAAGTTAAAAAACTAAAATATTTTTTTCAGCAAAACAAAATTAATTGTACTTAATTAGGAATTACAATTATTAATTATGTATTGCCTTGTGACAGTAAAATCAAAAAATTAATAAAATCAATAGACAAACGAGGAAAAATAAAAAAAGGAGAGATGTTCCCGAGGGTGTTCCCAAATGGTCATCCATCCAAGTACCTATTGACCGCGCCCGACGGATGTAAGACTGTCAAAAACGTTTTTTTTTGTTAATAAATAATTTGCTTTGAGCTTGGAAGCTGTTTCGTCAAGAATTCGGCAATTGGTTTTTAAGGGAATTACTTGTAGATTTTCGTCTAAAAAAATAGCGTATTAATTAAATTCTCTTTTCAAAAATATAGCACACGATTTGTGCCTGTTTGGCATTTCGAAAATTCAAATGGTGGCTATACCCGCCTCCCCCCTCCACCACACACACACAATTAAACTTTTTATATTAAAATTGTACTTTTCTACTCATGGCTTACACCATTTTGGTTTCGAAAGCATCTTGAAAAAACCCTAAAATTAAACTTCTTCAATCTTCATACTCTAAACGAGGGTCTTGCCGAGAGGTGGTAAATAGGTATACCCGCGTATTAAATATTGTAAATTTAATTACCTACGTGCTTTATTTAATTACCATTAAAATTTATAACAGTTTTGAAGTGAATTGATTTATAAGTCAAATATTATGTATTACTCATGAATACACAATTTATAACAGCGCGAACTCTATTAATTAGGCGTCGAAATTGGAACTGCCCCGAAACGCAATTCGATTTGCTTATATAGCAAACGTCCAACTCGTTCTCGAACTCTTCCGAACGCATCCGACTATTTTACAATGTTCTTGAACAAACAAATCATATTTCTCGGAAAGATTACGTCACGTCATCATATTTTGAAAATATTCGCTGTCTTAATACGAACGAAAATAAAAAAATTGCCAATTTCAGAATGACCGAGGGGCCATCCACTAGCTAAAATCATTGAAGAATTGATGGGAATTTTTGTTATTCAAGTATTGACAAAGTACTGCAAGGAACTGCCAAGTACTGCAGAATTAATGCCGTAAAATTCGACAACTTCCGCTTGTTCTAATAAATCTGGTAGTAGGTACACATTTGATTAGCAACATTATGAATTTCACTTAGTTTTGTAGTTTTACTGATGGATAATATGTTGTCAAGTTATGTCTGGAACAACATGTTCGACTATTTTAGTAACTTGGCCGATCTAAAAAGAATGAAAACTTGGAAAAAGAAATAAATGAAAGAAAATTACGAAATTAAAAAAGTTAAAAATGTAGTAACTCGCGACCGACGCATTTTTCCGCGCAGAATCAGTAATAACTCGGAAAAGAAGTGACAAATCTAAAAAAGCTTTCGTCGTTCTGGTCGCGGGACTGTACTACACCATATAAGAAAGAAACTACAACGAAAAAGCCGAGGAAAAAGCTTAAACTGGAGGACTAGTAGTGGAACAGATGGACAGATAGACAAAGTGCGGGCAATAGCGTTCATTTTCCTTTTGGAAATGCCCTAAAAAGCATATTTCTACCGCATTTCTCTAAACAGTACTATTTTACAAGGCATTTTTTAAAAGCTCTGTCCGATTTTTCAATAATTCGGCTCATATTATACTTTGAAAGCACCTCAGGAAGCACTATAAATTTCTCTATTTTTAGCGCATTTTCTAGCTATTACTTATGACCCCTTTCGCCGCCCGTCCGTCCGATGCCCTAACTACTCGTACAGTTTTCAAGATAAGTAGTTCGCTCTTTTTGCACCTGAACCAAGAAAACTATTGACGATTAATGTACAGATCCTTTTAGTAAAGACAAACATATCGCAGATTGTAAAAATAATTCTTATTTATGGGGACATTTCCCGAAATTTTAACCATAGATGCTTCTAGTAAGTAGTAAGGGAATAAATATACCTCGGGGAATACGTAGCTCACAAATAGACCAAGAGATAACGACAGATTTAATGCGATGATTAGTAAACGTCTGTCATCGCAATTCTTTACATAGGTTAGAACCGAGGTTAGAACTATGTAAACATATATCGTATGTCTGTTGGGCTATCCAATTTATTTTTATGTAAATTTTCACTTTTTGACAACACAACAAATAAAAGTGTATTAATAAGCGTCTCCCATTAATACATTGGATTCATACATTTGATATTTCATATTGACAGACGTTTGCCAATTAAACTTTGTTTAACAATTTTTGGAACATTTCATAATACATGATACCAAGCGAATAGACCTCGGAATAGACAATGACAATGGCTATCCGGGTCGCACAATGGATTCGGATAAACACAATTAATTGATTGACAATGACAAAAATTTATTCCGAAACACATGTTTGGACATATTACTCCAGAGGCTACCCCACAGGCATGCGGTCGATAGGGAAATAAAATAAGAAATCTTAAAATTACTTACAGCTTTTTTTTTAATAGTCCAAATCGAGGTCCAAATAATCTGGTTTGCAATACTAGAGGCACACACAAAGGCTGGCCGCTTCTGAACTTCACTTTGCTGTATAACACAGAATTAGATGACAAATTTTCGGTATTTGCAAAGCAAAAGAACACGCGCGTTAATTACATTTCCTGATAATGAAAACTCCTTATCGCAAACCACCAGATGTACCCTTACTTGTAATACCGTATCTAAATTGAATAATTTTTAATTTATAAAAGCGATAAAATTAAAACGAAAAATTACGCATCTAACAAATTTCTAAATGTAAGAATAAACACTGACATACAAATTTAAACGAAACCAACCAACTTTGTGGTTATTTCGTAAATACCCCCCTAGGTCGATGTACTGAATAAGTTTAAATATTTCTCATATGGCCATATGTACGTAATAGTTATTTCCATAAAAGTCAGGCAATTGACACATTACTGGCGAGAAAATATTAAAGTACGAGGCCCCTTACATGATTTATTTATGTACACTTACATTAATGAATTTATAAGGATCCTTGTTCTCGATTGGCTGCCAGAGGTGGTGAGATCTGATCTGTCCGAAGGGTGGCCTTTATTTGCACTTGGAATGAGTGTTAACAAATTGTTAAAACCGAGGTTAAAACTAGATGAGTGTGAGTCTTAAAATAGCAACAAATAGAGGGTCGACATTTTTGGTATATATACAGGTTGGCCATTGGCTTTTCAATCGTCACCAGGGGTCCCAAACGCGGAGACCTTGTATGCGTAATCAGACTATTTTTAAACATAAATAAAAGCGGAAAAACTTTTTATTTTGATTCTTAAGTTCAAATTGACTATGATAACCTCTGACCGACATATCAGCTGTTAAATACTCATAACAGGCATTGCGTCAAAACACACACGTTTAAGTACGGTAGGTCATGCTTGATCGTTTATTTACGATACAACTGGTTCAATTTTTATGTTTTTTTAACCAGGCAGTTTCCTAAAGTGACACATTTTAGAATGAACGGCGTAATCAAAAAACGCAATTTTCAAGTGAGGGTACGGACTTGAAATCAAGACATGTTATCTGTCTAAGACGTCTTTAGGAGTATCTACTTGGATTTACTTATCGAATTTGTAGGAACGAAAAAACTTCATATTTTAGAAAGATTTTGAAAAAATTAAAACGGTTTTTTAAACCAATTTCTTCGATTTCTTAAATTTTCAAAAAAGTGTCTAGATGGTAGGAAAACAAAAAACACATTTGAAAGACTTTTCTTTCTAAACACTAAACCTCGCACTAAACGTATTTAGGATGCTCTTAGGAGACTCTTCGAGAGTCATAGGGACTTTTAAACCATTGAATAAATGCACTTAAAGATCCTTCGGCTCGTAAAGGGGTCTTAAAGATTCTTCAAAATTCGGATACTAAATACTCAAAAATTCGTAACGACTCTCAAAAGATTTTCTAAGGTTTACTCACAAAAAATACATCCAAAACTGCTAAATACTGTAGAGGTGTACAGAATGAAGAATTATTTCAGATGCAAGCATTTGGTTTGTGTAACTTGAATCTAAAGATTTCCTCTGAGAGTTCCCAGAAGTTTTCCCAGTAGATTTTTCTTCAGGATATTAAAAACCCCCTTGATTTGAAAGCTGGGACAGTTTCGACTATTTCAACTAAATCCAATGCATAATTAGGTGCGTATTATGCGCTTTTTTGCGCCATTAGAAAAAATTAGTTATTTCAAAAAGTATACCGGTCACGTAGTTCCTGATTTTTAATAAAAAATTTTATGCGCAAATCAGACGACAATTATGCTCCAAACGGGGACGTACAGTCAGTGTCACAGGTAATGTCCATGAGATTCCACAACTGTAGCACCGTGTAGCACATATTCCCAGTGACGTCAGCTTTGTTTTAATTTTGAAAGTTGAACGGGTACATTACTTTTGACTCTGACTATACCTACAATATTTAGATCTATATTTCCATACGTTTAATCATTTACTAGTACATAATTAATTACTTTGAGGTCAGTGAAATTGCACTGCGTGTTCCTGAATTGGTCTAATCAAACGTTTTTATCGTGAACTTCAAATGATATTAAATTAGCTAACGTTGCACGTTGTGTGCGTGTGCTTTTTTTTGGATAACGCTGTTATTATTTATGTAACACGGAGGTATACTCTGTTTGTTCGAAGTTTCCTTGGGAAAAACTATTCTAATTTTGCATTTTTGTTTCAGATCCAGTGATCTACGAAGCAACCGAACTTCGTTGAAAACCATTTTAATGAAAAATGGTAAGTTTGACTAAGGCGCTTTCCGCGTTTAACCGAATTGGTAGATTTTGCTATGGTAATAATTGACACAATATTGTTTCCATGGCAATTCCAACACGGTTAAAAAGCGGTTGAATTTCCGAATAATCTCCCAAGCATATGATTAACAGTACTGATCATAAATTTCAAACAGATCAAATTACTTAGTTTCCTTAAATTACTTAAATTCCTTGGCGCAAGTTTCGGAACATTTGGGATCTTATGGATCTTTAAAATACTTAGAATCTTCCTTTTAATTTGTATGAGTCTTAGAAGAATCTATAAGTCAAGTAAAGCACCTCTAAATAGCTTTATCCGGGTCACTCTGTAATTGGGCGCATGCCTGTTGAGGGCCCAAAAAAAGAGAGGGATAATAAAATAAAATAAAAAATAAAAATATATCACGTCTCCAGAAGTTTCGGAAGCTTTTAGCACCTTCTCCACGTTTAAAAAAGCTAAATCTTCATAAGTTTCTGAAGTTTCTCTACAAACTGACGTTCCGACTTTGATTATTAAATATCGGTGGAAATTTTGTATAGTTTCGGCTATCCAGAGCTAGGTATATAGCTTGTTTAGGGAAATCTAAAGAAAATATGACATTTATCGAGATAATTTACCAAAAAAATTATGTGAAAGTGGTAGAGTTCTTAGTCTGAACCCCATTAATACAAAACTTCACCGCTGACGCGATTTAGTTTTTCTCAAAAAAATTTTGAAAACGGTCAAACTTTGAGGAAAAACAGCCATATCCGTAAAATTAAGGGTAAGTACTCCTCAAGGGTAGGTGATTAAAAAAAAAACGGAAGATTGATGCGCCACTGGAATACAACACGCCCCTAGTGATCAGCAGTAATTGTGCACAATTTTGCTCTTAGATTTTTCGATATTTTTTATGGTAGAGAAATTATGATCCGACGGGTCTTAGATGCTACATCCTGTATATCTGTCAATTATCTCAAAGTGACGCCTCTCTATCAATTAGAAGTAATCTATCCGTTAATTGGGGCTAATCGATGTGTCAATTAATGCTAATGGACAAGTACGATGCCAAATCAATTAATACTAATACAGTGATTTATCTGTCTTTTAATGAGCACTGATAATTGATACCTACATGTATTTCAAATGTATTCGTTCTAGGGCTGTAATTTCTTCAAATTTTCTTAGTCAGCAAAATGTGATGATTTCACATAGGGTTCAAACATCCTGAGAAATTTGTAGAATATAGATGCGCCAAAGTGCACATTTGTTCTTGAAAGAGTAGTCGCGATAACCGAAAAATACGTAAGTATACGGACACCTTATCCTCCCGGTGGGACCCCCCCCCCCCCCAGCGTTTGGTTTGTGACGTTGATGAATGATGTAATGTTGTGTCCTTGGCGTGGGGAATTTCCAGATTGCGTCACTACGGTAGTGACCTTGTTTTATGGTGCAAGGTCGTGCCCTGGGATTTCCCCGGCAAAATAGTTGTGACCTTGGTGAAGGGTATTGCCCGGTTACGTAACTAAGGTCGTGATCTGGGATTTCTCCGGTTACATAAATAAGGAGTAAACTTGTTTTATGGTACAAGGTCGTACTCCCGAATTTCACCGGCGAAAAACTGTTTTAATGGTGCAATTCCAATTCACCATCTCTCAAATTACATCAAAATCGGATCAATATTTTAGGACCAAAAACGTCACTACTCTTGGTTAATCAGAAACCAAATTTCAGCAAAATCTATCAGTAGAAGACTGACACTTGCGCAATCTTCGACTTTATTCGCGGTTTAATTCGCGCCAATTAAATTGATCGCAGGGTCGCCCACGTGGGCGAGGGTGCTTTCAGGAATTAATTTGGTTATTTCTGGAAAATTTGAACTTTGATTTAATCGAATATGGTTACTTTCGGTTTTTTTCGAATATCTTCGCAACTTATCAGAATTTCCGATTTTTTTAAATATCATTTTACCAAGTCCTAAAGTACGTAACTTTTTTCTAATCTAATTGACTTTCCAATTTACCCACACTGCGTTTGGTTTGTGACGTTGATGAATGATGTAATGTTGTGTCCTTGGCGTGGGGAATTTCCAGATTGCGTCACTACGGTAGTGACCTTGTTTTATGGTGCAAGGTCGTGCCCTGGGATTTCCCCGGCAAAATAGTTGTGACCTTGGTGAAGGGTATTGCCCGGTTACGTAACTAAGGTCGTGATCTGGGATTTCTCCGGTTACATAAATAAGGAGTAAACTTGTTTTATGGTACAAGGTCGTACTCCCGAATTTCACCGGCGAGAAACTGTTTTAATGGTGCAATTCCAATTCACCATCTCTCAAATTACATCAAAATCGGATCAATATTTTAGGACCAAAAACGTCACTACTCTTGGTTAATCAGAAACCAAATTTCAGCAAAATCTATCAGTAGAAGACTGACACTTGCGCAATCTTCGACTTTATTCGCGGTTTAATTCGCGCCAATTAAATTGATCGCAGGGTCGCCCACGTGGGCGAGGGTGCTTTCAGGAATTAATTTGGTTATTTCTGGAAAATTTGAACTTTGATTTAATCGAATATGGTTACTTTCGGTTTTTTTCGAATATCTTCGCAACTTATCAGAATTTCCGATTTTTTTAAATATCATTTTACCAAGTCCTAAAGTACGTAACTTTTTTCTAATCTAATTGACTTTCCAATTTACCCACACTGTTCATTCTTTTCTTGTACACACTATGAACATCATTTAGCTCTAATTGACGTTCTACTTCTCGATTTGAACTAGTTGATTCATGAGCTAATTAAATTATGTTTGTTACATAGGGCTAGTTGACACATTTATTGTTAATTGGGATTAATTCAGACATTTATCTAAATTAGCCTAATCAATAGATAAACTAATTGATGAATCTATTAATTGACAGATATACGTTGATAACAGCGCTAACAGCTCAGTTTGGGCTAATAAATTGACTGTCAATTAGTCCTAACCGTAGATAAATGTGTCAGATAGAATTACAGCAAATTTGACACATTTGCCTGTCTGTATAATTGATGTGCGAATTGGAGCAAAGTTTTCTATGGCACAAAAGGGAAGATGCATCGGCCTTGAAATCTTTGCATCCACAATCTTTATGAACAGAAACGTTCCCTCGTATACCGAAATCGCCGCTAATCAACATATCTATATTCATCAATTTGGACTAATTACCACATGTATCTTTCAATTAGTCTCAAGTGCTAGATAGATAGTGCGAATTGACACATTAGTCTCAATGATTGATGTTTCAATTAGTTTCGCTCAGATTCTATTTTTCTCGCTATTTTTAATTAATTTTTCTGATTTAAAATGTACCTGTATTCGCTCGTTTGTCGTTTCATATAAAGCTGCACTGCTTGTTTTCGGTGGTTCTCTCTTGAAAAAGAATTAATAATTAGACACTTCGTGTAGTGAAACAGACTATTACAAAATGGATGCGTCTTTCGTGTATATTTAACGTGCAAAGTGTGACCATATACCGTAAGTTTGAAACGTAAGTACTGCCACTCTTCGCCGGTCAGAGCGGTCGGCATTTAAATGTTTGAAAGGAGCACTCTAAGAAATTCAATAAAATTAGGGTTGATATCGCGGGTGAGCAGAAGGTTTTAAGCATTTGTATCTGTTGTGTTGTGACTTCTCTCCTTCCGTTCTATTGATTTTCGGTATCTCCCGTAATTTCCACGTTTTCTTGCCGCATTAAAGGTAATGTCGAACTCCGTTTTATTGTATTATTATTATTACATTAGTATTAGTCGTTAATGATCCATTCATCATTCTCGTAATCGTCAATTAAACACACGGAAGCAATAACGATCATTGTCCTACCTGTGGCTCCATCTTAAAAGTAAACAGCAAATGTAATCCCATTCATCAATAATGGTTATCGTGTTCTCTCTTTTCTTTGTCGCTGTCCCTCGTATCGCTAGCTTTTTTTGACGCAGTGACTTTATTAAGTTATTTGCGTTTTCTATCTCATTAAATTTATGGTGTGGGGGAAATATGGATTACTTTGGTCTAATTGATAGATTGATTTATTAATATTTTTAATCATTTACAATTCCTATCATTAACTACTTACTTTATTCGATTGAATAGTCGCAGCGAAATTAAAAGCGACACAAATAAAAGAATGGCAGACGTAATTAAAAATTAATAGTTATATTGTAGTCAATATACTTATTTGTATAGGAAGTAGTAATTGCCCCAGATCTTCTTCGGCGATTTTTGAATATTCATTTTTACACAATCGTGTTTTTATACTGAAGTTTAGTTGTATTACTATTTACCAATTTACTGCCGTTTTATATTTTAACAATCATAAAGTGTATCATAATATAGTTTTTATTATACCTGAATCACAATCTCCGTTTTAAACACTCAAATGCGTGCGAAAAAGGGCCTTTAAAACACACGTGCTTTAAAGTTGCTAAGTAACGATACTTCCAAGTATGACTTTTGAAACTGTCATCTGGATGAAATAAAAAATCCTCTTAAGTCGCTTTCTGTAAATGCAGAACATTTCTTTGGCTTTTGTACCTACCCTTTCGTTGAATCTTTCACAAACGCGCGTAATTTAGGGTATGTTTCCAAATCTGTTCCACTTTTTAATCGCAGCATTGCTTTAAAGTTTTGAATGAATGCACCAAAATATAGAAGATTTAAATACCTTTGACATTTCCTTCATATATGCCAGCATTATGGATGCATTTAAGACTGTATTCGTAAGTAAGAAAACAACTTTTCACTTTTTACATCGGGGCGGTGTATTATCTTTTTCAACGGAAATCGTTTAATTCACAAAGACGATGATTTTTGTAAGCAAACGTCAAGTGCATTTCCATGGCAATCGTGAAATTACGAACACCCAGCCCACTTAATTAGACATGTATTCGAGTATAACGTCAATATGACTTCATTGTATTTCCTATTTTTAAATTATATTGCAGGTATAATAAAAAATACTATAAG